TGGAATTTGAGAACTTCAGGGATTACCCGATTCCTCGGTCTAGTGGTGGGAGGGATCAGCATGAAGGAGCACGACATGCTGAATGTGTTTCCTCTTAAAATTTAACCCTTTTTTTGACTTCCACTCGTCCAACGGCGTGAGGGTAAGAGCCCTCATCTGTTTGACCTTTCTTGAAAAACCCAATCGAATCTTGGAGGACTTCTAAACCTGTTTAATCTTGCCTTCAACTAAAAAAGAATCCTCCTTCTCTTAAAGCCCAAAGATTCCCGTCATCTCCAGCACCAGCCTTGATGAACTTCGATGTTCTTAACAAGTACCCCTTTTCTACCTAACTATACAAGAATCCTCATAGCCAGGGATCACTGCACGCTGGTAATGCAAGAAAACGATATGGAAAAATAAACCATGAGAAAATAGTCTCTACTAAGACGGCCACTCCTTCGAGAGATGTCCCTACTAGTGAAAGCACACCTTGCCTAACCTTCCATAACTTATACCGCGCCGATAACCAGGACCTTTGCAGTCGTGAACTCGGTGTGATGTGGTACGTAGGAGTTGGGGTGGATGGCAACTGACGATCCGAAACAGTTGCGGTAACGGCAAGAAATGAGAAACACCTGGTGAGAGGTGGAGGACTGCGGGCTTCGAAACTCCTCGGAGGTAACCTGATTCGGTGAAATGGAAGGTGTTGGTGAGGGGATAGACAGCATTAAGCTATTCGTAATCGAACCATGCATGTAAATCCACAGAGTATCGTACTTTCTTAGGCATCCACTCGGATCCCAGATATGAAAGAAATGGTGAAAACATGTCGTGCTGATGATATACCAAATAATGAATAGATTTATGGTAAGAAAAAAAGCAGTTAAAGAGCACAGAAAACCCGCTGTGACATCACAGATCACGAGAGAAAAGAAAACGACGAAACAAATGAAACGATATAGTAGAGCAGGAAAATGAAGGCATTATTGGTGCTTGAAGAGGACTCTGGTGAGAAGTTTCGCAGATTAACGTTGCTTCTCGACGGATCGTCTCTTCTTCCTGGTAATTCGGGACGAAGGAGCTGCAGAACCGGGCGGCAGAGCTGCGAGAGCTTCTGGAAAAAATAACAATTGAATATTCAAGTGAATTTTTTATTCGGCCTCGACACGCAATCAATCGCGGTCGCCGGTGAGTGCCGACGATAACGATATAATTGCGGGTGTCGACGCCAAGAAAGGTTACGGTACAGTTGACGTTGAGTTACAGTAATCGATTTGAGCTGGTTGAGAATGAACGTACCGATGGGAAGAGTGCCGTTTTGAACACGAGCTCTAACGGTGGCCACCAGCTGTTGGATATAGTTGGCGGCGTTGAGAACGAGTTGCGCAGGGTCCTGCTCCTTGGCAGCTCGAGGCGGAAGCATCGTGCTTAGACGTTTCAACTCGGCCTTCTCGTCCTCAGTGAACTGTGGTTGCTTTGAAGATTCTGAAAGAGATTATATAAAAAAACTGAACAAAAATTACCAAACAAACAGAATAGAAGGGAAAGTCAATCAAAATATAAGGAATAGAAAACATCAAAGGGGTAACTGACCTCTCTTCCGAATTGATGGTCCCTGAATACCGATCTTACGTGGGGTGAGTTTAACTTTAGGTTGCATGATGAACACAAACAATGCTGGACGATACAGCGACGGAATGACCGCTACGACGGAGCTCGGCGAGGGGCGGGCCGTGCAGACGTCCAAGGGGCGTGGCCGACGAGGTGCAGCGTGAACAAGTCGCAAGTGCGCAGCTGGTAGCAGCTGCAATCTGGAACACAACCAGATTCATCTGGGAGTCCCAGAAAACTTCTTGAGATTTCGGTTTGACGTGGGAGATCTGAGGAACGGCAAGTTGAAAGCTTTGCTACACTCTGCTATTAGGGAGTGCCACGACTTTAGAAGAACTAACAAAAAATCACTAGCCCTCAAACTTCCCCTTCAAGTGAGCAATTCACGAAAGCGACCTAATGGGCGTATTGTTGCTGTGAGTATGAGCGTAAAATCCTAAATAATGCGTATGCTACTGTTAATTTGAGTTATCTATGAAATCGCATGAAAATCATTATTAGCTATGGGAATAGCATCGGCCGTAGTGGGCAACGTGAAATAGTAAATCGGGAAATTCAGTCTAGGAGCTTGAGGGCGCACATACTTTTCCACAGTTTGAAATCCCATCGCAGACGCAATGAGAAGCAAATGGAAACGTCAGCACCGTCCAGGGCCACCTCAAGTCTGGCCCAAATAGGGTTCTAGCACTTGCGGGAATCTTTACAATAAAGAGATCATACTCCACACGATGTACAATTAGATTGAAGTAGAATGCAAATGACTAGAATGCTATAAGCAAGAGGAAGAGCAGTTGTGGCCTGAGGCGCGACATCTGGTCGGTCGGGAGTCGAACCGAACTGCACAGTTGCCGTCTTGAAGCAGCCCCTGTCCGTCCGTCGGTCCAACGCCTGCCGCTGCCGCGGCCCCCAGACCACTCCCAGGTCATGAAATCTACAAGGGATCCAAGTTCTCCTTGAACATAATCTAGTCATTGTTGTTGTTCTGGTTTCAGAACTCTGTCTAGCATGCAACAGATGGTGAGAAAAATCCATTCAAAAGGATTCCGAGATCAAGGAATGGCTCCCAAAGAAGAAAGGTAGAGCTCAA